ATTAGGTCTTGTACCTAAAAAGTCTAAATCAGCTTGGCGATTGATTCATCACTTGTCGTACCCAGACAAAAAATCTAATTCAGTTAATGCTGGTATTTCTGACGAATCTGCTGCAGTACATTATGCAGGCATTAATGAAGCCATTAATGAAATTGAACAACTGCGTAGCCGCAATTATCAAGTTTTCCTATCCAAAACCGACGTTAGATCGGCCTTTAGAATCCTTCCAGTTAATCCGACAGATTATGAATTATTAGGTTTTAAATGGAATAAAAAGTTCTACTATGATTGTTGCCTCCCAATGGGATGTCGGACCAGTTGTAAAATATTTGAAGAGTTCAGTACTGCTTTAGAATGGATAGCATTGACGAAATTAGGTATCACTTCAATGGTGCATATTTTGGATGATTTTCTGATCATTGAGAAATCGTAAGAGGATGCAATTTCCAAACTCAAGGCGTTCATCAATTTATGTGAAGACTTGGGGGTATCCTTATCAGCAGAAAAGACTGAACTCCCATCTCAAACTATGGATTTTGTGGGCATAACATTGGACGTAATTAAACAAGAAGCTCGCTTGCCACTGGATAAGATTACAAAATGTCGATATCTTCTGGAAAAGTTCTTACATATGAAATGTTGTACATTAAAAGAACTGCAATCACTTATTGGAGTCTTGAATTTTGCTTGTTCTGTTATTCAACCAGGACGTGCATTTTTGAGAAGGATGATTAATTTAACAATGACTGTATCTGATTCCTAAACTCACGTTTATCTAAATCTGGAGACAAAAGATGACATGAGAATATGGCTTCAGTTTTTAGATTCTTTTAATGGGAAATCAATGTTTTTAAATGAAAGTTTCATGTCAAGTTATACATTGGAACTTCACACTGACGCTGCACAATCTATGCAGGCATATACAGGTCAAAATGGTTTTATGGTTCATTCCCAGAAAACTGGAAAAACATCAATATAATGACCTTGGAGTTTTACCCTATCATCTTAGCAATTGAGTTATGGGGGCCATTGTGAAAAAATCACTCTATACTATTATTCACTGACAATGAAGCACTGGTTTCTGTGATTAATAAACAGTCAACATCTGATGGTCAAGCAATGAAAATGGTTAGATACATGGTTTTAAGATGTTTCCAATTTAACAAATTATTTAAAGCAAAGCATATACCCGGAAAGAAGAATATTTTTGCAGATTGCCTTTCTCGTTTACAGGTGAAACAGTTTTTTAAAATAGTCCCAAGTGCTCAACCCAAACCGTGCTTAGTTCCACATCAATTCCAGCAACAGAACTTTTGGAGTACGTTACAATCTTAGCAAATGCAGCTCTAGCTCCATCAACTGAAGCTACTTACAGCCGCGCATGGAAAACTTTTGACTCTTTCTGTACAGAAATAATGAACCAAAGTCTGCAGCCACCAATATCTGTAGCTACAATTTCATTATTCATTGCCTACATGTTTAAAAAATCATATGCTCCTAGTACAATTTCAACATATCTATCCACCATAGCCTATGTGCACAAAATGATGTCAATGCCTGACAACACTCGGTCGTTTTTAGTTGAAAAATTAGTTACAGGCACATATAGACTATCAAAAACATTTGATAGCCGTCTCCTAATTACAATTCCTATTTTAAACAAGTTGTTACATAGTATAACATTAGTTATCAGGTGTACACATGATCAAGTTTTGTTCAAGGCAATTTTCTTATTTGCTTTTTCAACTTTCTCTAGAGTTGGAGAGTTGGTGACAACAAAAAATGCCCCAAATGATAATGTTCTGCTATTGCACGATGTTTCATTGTCTTATGTACAGGGCAAAGCTGCAGAAGTTCAGGTTTGCTTCCGAAAATTTAAGCATAACGTTAGAGGAATGCCAAAGACTATTTCGTTTTCACATGGTACCGCAATGGAATCAGCAGTCATAGCTATGGTTGAGTACCTTAACGTGAGACCCTATTCCGTACCCACAGAACCATTGTTTTGTTCTGTTGGTGCCACTCCATTACATCGTCCAGACTTTGACAGAATTTTACATAAATGGCTAGTATCTTGTGGACTGGATAGTTCGAGATACAAAGGACACAGTTTCCGCATAGGAGCAGCAACTGATGCTGCCGAGAGAGGCGTATCCGATTCACAAATACGCTCTATGGGACGTTTGAAGTCTAACGCATTTCAAAATTACATAAGATCCCATTTAAATTGATAGACATTTTTTGGTACCTGCTTGGGCCGGTGTAATTCTTTTTATAGGAATATATAAAAATTTTCCAGCATCTCTGCGTTACTTGCTTGAGCTGGTAATTGGCAATCAATACGAATTTTATTTTTGGTAAATCTCCAGTTAGTGTGTCATCATATAATAAACATATCATTTTATGCAATAGCAATTATAAAAGATAAAAGGTTTCAACGCATGAAGCTATGTTATTTTAACAATACTTAACTGCTTGGGCCGTTAAGTTTTCAATGCCAATTGCATGCTATATTTATGCATACTTAACTATAATGCATACATTAACATTAATACATAGATGTTTGTTTGTGGCTCTAATATCTATTTAGTTATGCACGATAGATTGTTGTGGAAGTTTTTATTGTCATTATTTGCTTACAAGGACTTTGTCTGTTAACATAACAGTACTTGCTTTGGCCGGTATTGTATTTATACTGGTATGGTTCAATTGGAACTAATTATGATCAGGCATTAAGCTCAAAGCTTTATTTTCTGCCAAGTGCTTGGCCTTTGTGGGGTAGGAAAGATTTATTTTATTGCATCTTTCCTGGTGGCTTAGTTGACCCCTTTTCTAGGCCAAGCTATTGTATTATGTAATATGTTATGTAATATGTTATTAGTGTTTTTATGTATTTTCATTCATTATTATCGTGTTGTACAGAATTATATATATTGTGTATTTTGATATGAAAGAATTTTTTACGAATAAGTACAAATTTTGCAATTTACTTTTTAGTTTCTCCATTCATTTATCCATTGCCCATACGATATCAAAAAGAACATTTCGTCGAATTCTGACACTTACATCATATCAGATGGTTTGTTACGGTTGTAGGAAGATAGCATAAAGGCAAGTTATTTTAATAACTTATTTTATGCAGATGACGGAAATCTTTAGTTTTATTTGAATTTAATTTTTGCCTTTCCCTTTGGGGAGCCCCTGCACGAGATCTTGTGTTGCAGTATTTACACTACACGTAACAGTTTTACACAGTCTTGATAATTTCCGCCATCATCATAACGTGTGTCGTTACGAAATCTCTGAACTGAATCAAAAACGTTTTTGTTTATTTGAAATTTTCTACTTTGGAATAATAAACGATAAAATTATTTTTTGTAGGTTTTCCACAAATACTCATTTCATAGTTTCGTTGCGTTGACGTATTTTTTTTTGGGGGGAGGGGTGTGTGACCTATTACAATACCGTATTTGTCCGGCTTTCAGAACTGAAATAATTCCTTCATGTCATGGTCTATGCTCATTTTAACATGGTTGGCATTATATTTCACCATATTTTACAACTCGATTACGCTCGGTGTAAAATATCGACAGTTGATTTGTTAAAAGTAACATTGAAAAATTGAGACATATAACCCGGTTACCCAATTCATGATTTAAACCAGAAAAAAAATACTTTTTTTATTCACAACAGTTACTTATTCCAAAAACCACAAAGAATACAGTGTTATGTAGTTTACTGAAAATCGACTTGAAATATAATTCGATATTGAAAACCAGTAACTAACTTCAGTTGTCAAATGCGATTATATACCAATAAATCAAACTGGCAAACGCATCACGAGCAATTCTCTGATATATCAAGAACAAACCTCAGAAAAATATATTTGAAAATTTAATTTGATTTAAAATATGCTACATAGACATTATGCTCCTTTACATACATAGATTTTTCTTATGATTCTTTATGAATCGATCAAAGTCACGGACTCTTACGATTTGGACACTTTCACAACCGATTTAAGAGTTGTTACGAGGTATAAAAAGATATTAACCGTTTATATTACGAATTATTAAGCGTTACGACGATGTATTTACGGCTATTTATTTCTAGTTGCCACGGATAACTACGTACAATTTACGGGCATTGTACGAGCTTTTTACAAATTGTTATGAGTATATCATGTATATTAATGCATGTTACTATTCAACGAAGCTTTTACGTGTTAGTTACAATCTGTTTATGTGTTGTAACGAATACGATTTTGCTGCTTTTATACCTTTCCCCAATCATAAACAATACTTAAATAACTTTATATTTGATAATTACGGCGGAAAACTTGAAAGTGCTACCAGCCTTAGAAGACTCCAACAAATTACTGGTTTTTGTTATTATGTTAAGAGGAAAAGGGCATTTTCCCAGGTATATAAGTTGAAAAACTTACAAATGAACAGTGTCGATCTTTTTTGGATTTGATAAAGATGACATTGAAATTCTTCGTCGCGCCCTGCGTATACCAGAGAAAGTTGTATGTTGTAATCGGACCACAGCAAGGGGTATTGATGGACTTTGAATGGTATTACGACGACTTGCCTACCCTAGTCGACTTGAAGATCTAGAATATATATATTTGGCAGGTAGTAGATAGTTATCTCTTGGCTTAGCATCTTAAGTAAGCAACATGTAATGACACTATCCAAAACTAGAACTGTGATTACAGTCATTCAGGAAACCCCCGGCCCCATCCTTTTCTCAAAATACAATTGCCAGAGTGATTTTTCTTTGTGCACATTTCCACAAAGTAATCTACCTTAAGACACTATTAACATATATTGCAATATTAACCAGTAAATTTGATTATCTTCCTTTTAACATTTATGACCTGGGGTAAAACTACAAATATTATAAAAACAGTTCTTCATTATAAATTGTTTTAATATATTTTTATTTGTACTATTTATTGATTTAAAATATTTCTTCTATTTAATGTCTGTCACCTAAACATTTTTTTTACAGCTCCAACATTAGTGTTTTTTTCTTGTTTATTGTTTCCCAGTTTTTGAATTTTTCTTGTTTCTCTAATTGAATTTTTTCCTCCTCCAATTGCAGTTGCTGTTTTTTTACTTCAAGTTCTTGTCTTCGATATACCATTTCGGCCTCATTTATTTCTTTCAAGTACCCAACAATATTTCCAGAACTGTTTCTCTTTCACGGGGTGTCGTCGTTAGATTCATCATCATCTGAAATATATAGACAGAATTTGTTTTAAAATGTATAAGGTTTTTGGCTTTAAAATAATTGGTCCACGAGCATCACTGAAGTTAGAAGACACATTAATTGTTGGCTCGAACTCATTTTTAATGATGTAAAGTATGGAATAAGCCAGCTACAGTCTATACCCCCGGAGGTGATGATTCCTTACCGTTCGAGACCAATGAGCCGTCCTAAACTGTATTTTTACTCGCTGGTTGTGTCATCACTGTGTATCATCACATGCTATACGCTGTTACCCACCTACGCCTCATGCCATTTTTCCTTGAAATTCAAACCAAGCACCAGTTCTGGTAGCTGTTTAGCCTGGTACCTGTATATGTTGATACACGTTTGTTATTGTCACTTTGACACATTCACTCTCCCAACATTCATTCATATTTTATTCTGTAATCTTTTCAAATATGTATTGACTGAGATAAAATTTACTTGCATGTTCAGGAAGAAAAACTTCATAAGCCAAATGCGACCACTTTTTATTAGGGCAACCAGAAGTTGACGAAATGCATGCAGTACCCCCCCCCCCCCCCAAAAAAACAACCTGTGAAAGAGATACCGTAACCATTTATTATATAATTTATTTAAACACTGAACAAATAGGTCATGTATAAGATAAGAAGTATGTACCTTTAAGTAATGTCTTTTCCTCGAGTTTCTTCTGTTTTCCTTTTCTTTTTCTCTTTCTCTTTTTTCTTTTTGTTTTTCTCTATCCTCCACAAATGAAAGAATTTCATCCAGTAGAGTTTCTTTCTCTTCATACTCTTCATCAATCCCTGAACTGGAATAATAATATAAAACTGTATTAAAATTAACAAGAACACTGACGTCACATGCAATCTTTGTAAAAACGTTTTTTGGAAATCATGATATTTCCCATATAAATCAGACTTATATGTATTTTAAAATTTACTAATAATATAAACATTGCTATGATTATATTTAACATCATATTTTTTTATTTCAAAGATAGTTGATGAAGCGCTTAATTTTACCATATATTAGAATATTAGAATCTAACAATTGCAAAATCTATTTGCAACATTTCAAATTGTACCAATTTATTTGACAAAAACTACAAACAAATGCTTACTTTGTCTGGTAGTATGGCTGCATATGCTATACATTTTTATACAGACTTGTTTGCACTTAAAAAGTGCTTTAAATTAGTGTTTTCTGAGGGGTGGAAAGGGTTGGGAATAAGGGGAGGGAAGCGGCAGTCAGGCGGAAGGGGTCAAGAGAGAGGGATGTAGGAGTTATGGGTTAGAGAAAAAAAGGGTTAAAAACTTTTCTTTTTTGAATAAATCATAAAATGATTATAAAAGTATAAATACCTCTTCAAAGATTCAGCATTGGTTTTTTTATGCGGATCTATCAGCAAATGTGATCTTTCCCGGACGCGTCTTGCATCAACCTGGAAATTAGATCTGGTATCTGCTACTGATAATGCTATCTCATTCCAGGCAGACTTATTTTTAAATGGATATCTAGCCAGGACCTTTCTCAGCAGTACCAGGTCATCTTTTGGCTGGAATCGGACTTTTTTTTCAGCTGCCACTGGTGGAGAATGAATTTTCTAAAAAGGAACAAATATATTTCAAGAGTTACACAAATTGTTGACCACCCCCCTTTTTCACTGAAATAAAATATATTTAAAGCACCAAAAGCATGTCTTCTCCTTTATAGTTTAATCCTGCAAGAGTATTTCAAGAGTCTTATGAATTTGCCTCTCATTCAATTGGAAAAGAAACAATTTGACAGCATCGTTCATTTTTCACGCACCTGTTCACGCCCCCCTTTTTTTCTAACAAACTGGAAATCAGTTAGTTTACTTCTTGAAAATGAGTCTTATACTGTAGAACTATTAGTCGGCGAACATGTTAACTATAAGGTAACTATAAAATAGTTTTAGAGGTTATTATAAAGTATTGTTTAATAACGGAAGGACATTCAATATGCCGCCATTTTCCGTCGAATGCGTTCCACATTTGCCGTTCCGTCCTGATGTCAAAGAAATGTTTTAAAGGCTCAAAATAGTTTTATTACTTCAAGTACATTCTCTTGTGCCTGTACATTCAACTTTATTGACGAATATCTGTGTTTTAAGAAAAAGAAGCCACAAGTTCTTACCTTTGTGAAGCCGCCGCTTTACACGTTGCCCCTAACGTGTACGTTTCACCGCCAGGCAAAATCGATAACGTAATTCGCAGGAAATCGGGGGGTTCCCGAGCCACAAGTAGACGCACACGTACAAGTTCCGATGCTAAACCTCTCTGCTCGTAATAACGTATAACAATCCTTAAACCATTGTCGTGACGTCAGCCTATTCATTTACCGTGGATTCTTTTTCTAGAATCAACGCTTCCTAAATCTGTCGCTGAAATGGACTCACCAAACTATATTCAATTGTTTCAATTGTGTGTCTAATTTCATTAAGTTTGAATTGGCTAATTTACTGATTTCTGTTCACTAATGGAATTAATTTAAAAACTTACCTTTCAGTAATAGTTATACACCGAGGGATAGGTGTGTCTGGATAAGAAACCCCGACGGCCGTATCCCGAGGTGTATAACTAACTTACACCCCATTCTAAACCCTATATTTGTTAACATTGATTATTAAATGAAAAAAAAAACGATAGCATATTTATTGACAATTTCAAACCATGATTTATAAGAATATTTTTTTCTCACATGAAACCCCACTAGTAACCTCTCTTTGGTTATCTTCGTCCAAACTTTGACAAGTGAGTATATTTTACAAATGTCAAAGTTGTTTTGCATATTCCCGTTAAATCCATGTGCTAATATGGATCAGCAGGTCAAGGTTGACTTTTACGTGTATTCTTATTACACACAAAAAATACATCATGCTCCTGGTATACAGTTGTCAATATGGACGGGTATAAGACGGACGACATTTTGTGGCAAGCGTTGGATTTGGTAGATAAAGATAAAGATAAAGGCAATATTATAACCCAAAGTACTTACCTGTATCAGTTTAATAAAGGTAATCATAACTATTTTATATCTTACGATTTTATCAAAAACAAAAGCCCCCCCCCCCCCCCCCCCCTCTTCTCAAGAAAAAACAAAAATTCATATTCGAACATACTAAGGAATAGGTGTGTCTGCATTAGAAACACGACTACCAGAGGAACTCCCTTTTTGAGGCAATCAGGGGCTGATCCAGCCGTAGGTTCCCAACTCAAGAGAAAACGGAGGGGGGGGGGGGGTTCCAACCATTCAAATGCATTGATCTTTTAAATAAAAGTCGTGTCCAATCCGCGGAACCCCCAACTCCAGATCGGCCACTGGGTAACCGTGGGTGGGGGGGGGGGGGGTCGGGAGATAAGAGACATATGACTGGGATAAAAAAAATTACCTTCAAGCAAAGGAGTATTTAAAGGATTATTTTTTTATTCCATATAGATGCTTATTGGAATTTCCTAAAATGTGTTTTTTTAATATCATGAAACAATTTGTAGTGAACACTATTAGAAATTTCTTATGTTCATGCTATTTAAAAAAATAATCAATTTCTATTGTTACGAATAACAATGGACTTTGTTTGCGGGATGTAGAAGCAGGGGTTTCCAGAAACCCCGCTCGTCACACCCTGTGGTCAAAGTCCATTGTTATTCGTAACAATAGATCTATTCAATTTACACTTGTTTCAGAAATAGAAACTATGAAGTATAACAATAGAACTGGGGTGTAATTTTTGTTATTTTTATATGCCTTCACTGGGAATCGAACCCTTCCTCGAAATCTGTTATGTGTGACTGACATCAACACATCGACGAAACCTCTCGGCTACCAATGGGTTACACTATAGATGTCTATTTTATATATTTAAATGAACATCTGATATACATCGGTTCATCGGACACACAGGGCTTGTACCTTTATATAGACACAATAGGTAGTCGTATAATACGAGTTGGTAGCCGCGAGGTTAGCATGGTTAAAATCAGTGAGTTAAAGATATGGATTTGTCGGTTTAGGTTCGAATCCCTGTATTCTCTCTGTTGTTCCAATTCTTAAGTTATCCTGGTTTTTTTCTAATTTTGCATGTTAAAGTGGATATTTTTGTGATAATAGCGAGTTTTAACGTTTTTTTTTAATTATTATTGGCTATTTCACATGTTTGAAACAAAAATGATTACATTCTATTTGTCAATTTTTGTTTTATAAATATAGTATGATTTCATCTGTTTTACTACATAATTTTACACAGGTTTGTTCGCAAATTCCTATGCGAGAAAATCGTGATGTGCCTAGAGTGCTAGAAAAATTTCGATAACATACTTATTATATATAATTCATATATGCTTTTTGGTCGGGTTGTTGTCTCTTTGACACGTTTCCCATTTCCATTTTCAATTTTATTAGAAATAATTTCGAATATGTCTTATTTTGTATAAACAGATAATATTCATATGCCTGGTAATATAAAGATCTTTAAAGGTAGAAGTGTTATATTTGTATTTTGTTAACCAATTAATGTGATCTGAGATTTATGAATGCATCGTTTGGACACGATAACATGGTTATTTAAACTTACTTACAATACCTTCTAATTAAGAAAAGGCTTTAATTTTGAAAAGAAATTAACACAATAGTTTAAGTTATAGATACAATGGATAAGCGTAGATTCATGAAAAACAAACCATTCGCACTCCGGGCTCATGGTTTCTTTTTCAAGAATCCACGCTTATCCATTGTATCTATATAACGTAAAGCCTTCGTATAAGGACCCGAATGAATACCGTAACAAATCGTACATTTACAATTGTTACGTGTCATTCTTGTGAATAGTTCACAGAAAGATACTTGTTGTTGCGACCGGTTTACAATACTTATGGATTGTAACGAATTTTTTGTGGATTGATTTTCGGGAACAAATCAATCCGTTCACATTCATAAGAAGATTTGTTCACATGTCAAAAGATTTGTCTCTCCTTTCGTGTTTCTTTAAGAGTGTTTGCTGGTTATTGCGAGTTGAGACGAGTTACTTACGGATTCTTGCGACTGACTACGAGTTGGTGATCCGTAATGACCCAAGAATATTCGTGTATGTAAGGGGGTATAATTACCGTACACATAATTTTATTTCGTTATTAAATCTTGGTTTGTTTGGTCCAATGAAGACACTGAAAAGCCGATTTTGTATGTTCGTTATTTGGGGTCGTCATAGTTAGAACGAGTTGCAGAAACATGACGTTATCTCTGTATGACATTTTCAATTTTAGAAAAGTAAAAGTTTGCGGACAAACTTATATCAAAGCTTACCTCAAACCACGATGTTTATTCAAAAGAATAAATAAAGTTGTAGAATCAAATTTTGTAAACCTTTTTCAATGCAAAATACCTTGCAGACTCCATGTGTGATAAACTTTTTATCAGTTCAGATATAGAGGAACTCCGACAGATTTATTAAGGTTAATAGCAACTATGGTCTATTTGGGAGCTAGATTTAAGGGAGACGCTACTGGTCCTCGTATCCATATAGTTCCACGGTAAAATGGTTTCTTTTTCAATTAGGATTCAATGTTCGAGTCTACGGTGCTTAACAATTGACGACAATTTTCTGTTTAAAGTATATTTCAAAAATCACAGTTCCTAAGACATATTATTTGAGAAAGACTGTAAATTTCTGTCGTCCAACGACATTCGCTTACCAGACAATAACTTGAGTATTATGGAAAGGATCTCTATGAAATTCTATCACATGCGTCCATACCACTATAGGAATGTGGGGATTGATTTGAGGTTATTGTTTAAACTGATTCTTGGGGCCAAAAAGGGGTCAAAAACAAGCATTTTTCTTGTTTTAGGACAAACACTAGTGTATAAATGTATTAATCTGTATGAAATTGTACCCTAAGTTTTCATACCGCAAAAGGAAGATTTGGATTGATTTTGGGGGTAATTACCCGAACTGTTTAGAACAAGCGCCCAAAAAGGGGCCAAAACAAGGATTTTCTCGTTCCGGAAAATTACTAGCGTATAAGTCTATGTTTATATTTGAAATTATACCACAAGGTTCCAAACTACAAAATAAAAGAAGATTAGGATTAATTTTTGGTGTTACGGCTCTGATAGTTTAGGAATTAGTGACCAAAACCTATACTTTCCTAATACTTTGTATAAATTGCTTATTTTTTGACCAATTTTAATGGAGTTTAATTCTTGAGTTCTAGTTTTGTTTTAATATGGTGAATCTAGCCGTGTGTTTAGATTTTGGATTGTGGCCCCCGTTTTTAAATTGGTCTGCATTGAGATCCAAATGGTCCAATATTAAACTTTGTTTGATTTCATCCAAACCTGAAATATTGGGTTCTTTAATATGCCGAATCTAACCGTCTATTTAGATTTTTTTATTTTGGACCCCGTTTTCAAATTGGTCCACAATTCAACTTGGTTTGATTTTAACAAATATTGAATTCTCAGAGTTATTTGATATGCTGAATCTAAACATGCATTTACATTTTCGAATTTGGGTCCAGTTTTCAGGTTGGTCCAAATTATGATCAAACATTTAACTTCATGTTTTTAATTAAAGTTGAAAAT